GATAGCAAGAAGCCTGGATACTAGAGCTTGGTATCGCAAGTGAGGTCAAGAAGACATAAAGACGAAACCAAATCACGTAATGATTAAACCACATAGTGAAGATACCAGACAACATAACAGCGCAACCACATTACATCATGACAAGAGCACAAAACATAACTTAACAACCTCAATACATCACGATCAAACCACACCACGTAATGAAGTTATTACACCATATCATGATAAAAACACGTCACGTCAGGACTACATTACAAGACATAATGAAGAAACCAGAAAACATAATGAAGTAACTACAACACATAATGAAGAAACCACACCAAATAATGATAAACAACCACATAAGAAAATTATGGCTTTCCATATATATGCCTGCTCACCAAATTTCCTGTTCTGGGTGACTGTAATATTTAAAAGTTAACTTAATCGCCTTAAGAAAGAACAGGCTTATGTGCAGACAAGCAAGCAGAAGATTTTTAAAAATCACATCAATTTTGCTGTATTTTTGGTCAAAAATGCTTCTGGAACACTAAGATGAAGACATTAAGTGAATTGTTGAAGGGAGAGCAAACTGAAATTAAATTTAAGCAATATTTTCCAAGACAACTACAGAATTTCAAAAAGTGTGCCAGATTTTTTCAATCTGACATCAAAACCTTACGTATTCATAGCCCATTGTTTATCAATGACAATTTGTCTTAGATTTTGAATTTTCAGTCATGTTATGTCCCCCTTAAGGTAAATAATGCAACATAATGAAAAGAAGTCACAAGTTTGAAAGAAGCACAGTTTTTCTGAGAAAAATAATTCATTCATTAGTTTAAAATTTGGAGCAGTAAATTAAATGAACAGAGGAAATTGTGTTGCAACAGAGCAAAAATTAGTATTGAAGTGTCATGTACTCAAACTTGTACCATTTGTCTTTAAACACAACATTGACCTAATTTGTTGGCAGGTTCAAAAAATTGATNTAAACACAAGATTGACTTAATTTGTTGGCAGGTTCAAAAAATTGATATTGGCTATGCCAAAACTGCCAAAAAGATGGATGTAAAAAAGCTGAAGGGAGCCATGTGGGGACTGCTAACTGACAATGGTGAAGGGAACAAGGTTTGTTGATATACTTTCTGACTACATGTAGCTTACCAAAGGTTGTTCTAAAAGTTCTGCTACAAACTTTTACACATGTAAAACTTCCACTATTTCTAATAAATTATTTTGTTATATCTATTCATTTTATGTCTATCTCTAGAGAGCAACTTACTTGTTTTGGAAAACATCCTGTAAGAAAACATACTAAAAGCCATACTGCTGCCTATTTAATTTTATCTCTACATATAGCTCTTTAAAATAGTTGGCTTTTATTTTCTTCAGACTGAATCAGTCCTAATTCCAACCAGTCTAAGCCAAACCAAACAACATTCCATGCCAATGTTTTGTGATTGGTACCTCTTTGTTGTACGTTTAATAGGTAATATTGACTTGGCATGACAATGCCCCCCTCGATGTTTTTATACCGAAGTAATACTGAGTTGATTTGACATGGTATAGCTTCAGATTTGTTCAAACTGTCCAATAAACAGTCCCATATTTCTTGATTATTTTCTCTTTGTTTACACGTCTTATAGGAAAATGTTGCCATAGATCAGCAGGGAAAACAAACAGACAATAGCACTGTGACTACTCCTCACTCATTCAAAGAAATTTATGCCCGGTTACCTGGAAAACTTTCCAAGAACATGGCAAAGAACTTGTCAGTGTCCATCGCCTTCGTCTGCATCCTTCACCTGGCAAATGAGAAGGTAAGAAACACAATAACAAAAACAATGTGCTCTAACTGCCTGGCTGCCTATTATTAGTTTAGTCCACAGGTTTTGACAATAGAAAAATAGAAGCACTGCATGTCATATTAAATTGAAAAGTCTGAGTGTTGTAATTGCTGAACAATGTCT